GAGGAGGAGGAATCATCCTGTGACACAACGTAACTTTTCTACAGCAGCAGGCAAATGTTGAGGATTTATTCTCTACGTGTTTTAAAACTATATATTTCTTCATTATGTTTCCAACTGGTCCTGCTCAGGTGTGTGTGCACTCAGCCCTGCTCACACAGGTGTGATGATGTCACTGCCTGCTCAGGTGTGTGTGCACTCAGCCCTGCTCACACAGGTGTGATGATGTCACTGCCTGCTCAGGTGTGTGTGCACTCAGCCCTGCTCACACAGGTGTGATGATGTCACTGCCTGCTCAGGTGTGTGTGCACTCAGCCCTGCTCACACAGGTGTGATGATGTCACTGATGACAGGACAGGACAGGGTACAGTTCTACAGTCTACCACATACACCACACAGCCCACTGCAGGACTAAAGACAGGGTCTGACCTGGTGACACCCTAACTGATCCAGATCTTTGGTCCTTCCAGTCCGGTTCCTGTCCAGCTGCTTACTTTACCTTCACCTGGTTCTGCTGGGGGGTTCTGAGACCCCTCTGAGGTTCTGAGGAGAACTGGCTCATCAGAGACCAGAACATATGTGTCTACACATATGTAGACATCTGGACTCTGGGTCTGGGTCTGGGTCTGGGTCTGGTCCAGGACTCTTGTTTATCCTTCAGGTCCTGCTGCCGTGTTGTTGTTGTTAGAGAGAAGAGGTCGTGACCTCTGACCTTTAATCAGACCCTACAGGGTCTGAGCTGGAGCTCACTGTAGGGTCTGCCCTTCAGGGTGACGACTGTCAGCTGTACAGTGATGACCTTTGACCCTTCTCTGATTGATGGACAGGTGTTTCCACACCTGTAGCTGCAGGTACATCCTGGACCTGTGAGACCCTGTGGGACCAGCAGGTCCTGGTTTGTCCGTCCTCCAGTCTGCTGAACTCAGAGCTGTGTGGAGGAGGAACTGTTGGACATCAGTCCCTCTGTCTGTCCTCACCTCTGTCCAGCTTCAGCTTCAAAACCAACACGAGGACAAAATGTCCAGAGAGACAGTTTGTCCAGAGAGACAGTTTGTCCAGAGAGACAGTTTGTCCTGAGAGACAGTTTGTCCTGAGACACAGTTTGTCCAGAGACAGTTTGTCCAGAGAGACAGTTTGTCCTGAGAGACAGTTTGTCCAGAGAGACAGTTTGTCCAGAGAGACAGTTTGTCCTGAGAGACAGTTTGTCCTGAGAGACAGTTTGTCC